AGCTTCCGGTAGGCGGCAGCAGGGCCCCGCGTGCTGACTGGTACTGAGGAATGATTGCCTTTGTTGCTGACTGCTGACTCTTGAGGCATACTGCCATGCTTGCAGCATCGCATACAGAGTTCCTTTCCCTATCGTTCCCTTCCCCCTATCCATTCCCTCTCTTACCCGCCCCTCCTTCCCCCTCCTTCCCTCCTGTCCTCACCCGCCTCGCTCCCGCCCCACAGCGACGAGGTCAACCTGTTCGACCCCACCGGCAAGCTCATCGCCACCGCCAAGTGGGCTGACGCGCAGATGGGCACCGCGCTGCACCTGCAGTCCGACGGCTCCTACGCCACGCTGAGCGAGATGGAGGACGTGCTGTCGTCGCTGCGGGCGGGCGGGCGACACAAGATCTTCCTGGAGGCGCTGCAGGTAGGTGCGAGGGGTGGCGGGGGGGAGGGAGGGAGGAGGGAGGGCGGTGGAGGGGTAAGGGATGGCTTACCGAGGGGCAGACATTCTGAATGCTCCCACTGCTGTCTCTCACCCTCCCCTTCAGAAAACCGGCATGGACAAGCTGCTTGCTGCGTCTAACGCCGGCAACTGGTCCTACCCCGAGAAGCCCAAGCCCAAGGAGCAGCGCGACCTGGCGCCGCAGTTCCCCTGGTGGTTCGGGTTTGGCGTGGTGAGTGCTGGGGGGCGCTGGGGGGAGCATGGGAATGAAGGGCTGAGGTGCATGGTGGGTAGAGCGGGTTGTACTAGGCTGAAATTGGCGACACTGGGGTCTTAAATAGCTGGATCCTGAGCATACCTCACTCGCCTGCCCCCCGCGCTGTTTGCCGCTGTGCAGGACCGCTCCAAGCTGCCGCCCCCGCCGCCTCCTCCCCCGCCCCCGCCGCCGCCGCCCGCTGGCATCCCCGCCTCTGGCCCCTACACGGTAAGCTTCCATCCCTGCTTCCATCCAAGCCACACGCCACCTGTCTGACACCTGTCTTCGCTCCACCTTCCTTTCCTAGCTCTGGAATGCTGGCCGTCAAGTTAATAAATAACCAATTCCATCGCCCATCCTCTCCTGCCAGGTGCTGGCCCCCACCGACGAGTCGTTCGAGGTGCTTCTGAAGCAGCTAGGTAACGGGCGGCGGCTGCCCCTGGACACCTTCTACCAGCTGCCCGAGCTGCCCGACATTCTGCAGTACCACATCATCCCCGGCATGTACACCACGGGTGAGTAGGGCGGGGTTGACAGGACGAGCAGGCCGAGGGAGGCAGCAGCAGGCGACCCATGGGTCATCAGCGACCCTAACTGTCATGTTGACCAGTTGTGCCCTGTTCTCACTGATCCATCCCGTCCTAACTTCCTCCCCACCGCTGCTGCTGCACGGTGCATCAGAGTACATGTTCAACAACACGCCCATCTGGACGGCCCGCGGCGTGGAGGTCATCCCCTTCAACGACCCCTGCATGACGGAGGGCGCCATCATGCTGCACGACAACTGTGTGGACAAGCCCACACCGGGTGAGTGAGCGGACGGGGATTAATTTGGAAACAGAATCCGCGGGCGGGGAGGGCGAGGGCTGGTGAAGGGGCCGGATGAGGCGGCCTGGAGCAATGAGGGGGGCGGAACTCAGCATGCACAGCAGGAATCCTGGCGAGTGTGGTACCGTTAACCATCTTCTCCAGAGGCTCCCCACATCACATACGGTACCGTCTCATCTCTGCCCTGCGCCTGCAGACAACTACACGTGCGAGGACCAGAAGAAGTTCGACAAGTGCTTCTTCCCCTTCATGACCTCCGCGCTGGCGGCGCAGTGGCAGGGCGGCTTCTGCCAGCGCACCTGCGAGCGCTGCAGCTGCGCGGCGGGCTCCGGCATCCAGTGCAGCGCGGTGAGCGGGGCGGGGGTGGGGGCGGGGTGGGGGGGCGGAGGAAGCGGGGCGGTGGAGGAGAGTGGCGGGGAGTGGGGAGCCGGATCTACCATGTGACCAGCCTCGGTCATGAGCTGCGGTGTCGTTCTGCATCCCCCTCCGGCGCCTCCTAACCGCAGATCCTGGAGCCCGATGCGTTCGCCTCCAACGGCGTCACCCACGTTATCAGCCGCGTGCTCTTCCCGCCGCCCGTCTTCTCCAAGGTGCGTCCTGGGGGGGGGGGGGCAGCTTTCCTGCTGCCAGTCCTGCCAGAAGCCTATGTGCCCCACTGCTGCCATGTTTCACATTATGTCGGTTACTCCACCCGCCCCCTCCCGCCACACCCTCCATGTGCCTACTCACCCTAAAGCCTAACCCTAACCCCCCCTGCAGGCGGACTACGTCAACCTGACCACTCCGGTGGAGATCACCGCCACCACCCCCATCACCGCACCCCTGCCCGGCATGACAGCTGCACCCACCGCCCAGGGAACCTTCGCAGCGGCCGCCGCAGCCCTCTCCACCTCCAATACCACGGCTGCGGCGGCTCCCGCTTCCCCCGCGGCCGCTGGCGCTGCTGCCGCGCCTGCTGCGGACCCCGCGGCCGCAGCTGCAGCTGCGGCACCCGCTGCCACGGCCGCACCGGCGCCAGCCCCAGCGGCGTCCAGTTCGGGCAACTCGACCGAGAAGGTGGTGCAGAGCAAGAAGCTGTTGTGAAGCAGCAACTTGCAGTGAGATGTGCGGCAGGGCTAGATACGCACGGTAGGCAGATGTACTACGGGTGAGGGTATTGCGCGCAGTACGGCTGAAGCGCGTGTGTGGACTTGCGCTAAATCAGCAGACGTTGTTCGGGGAGAGGTACTAATCCTTGCATCGGCAGAAAGCCGCGCAATCTAAGCCCTTCGGTAGGCTAATGCTGGCACCTTGTTAGGCTAATGGTACTTTATGGCTCGTCGTCCTCATTTCCATGCATGCGATGATTGACATGTGGACGCAGTGAGTGTTTGTATGCCCGCACGTGCAACCCGAACCTCTGGTCTTGCGCCCAAAACCTGCCGGGAGGGGCGGGATCTGCGGTATGTAGGGGCAACCGGGGCCCCACCCCTCGCCGCGTCTTCTTTCCTTTCATTCCTTCTGCTCTTCCCTCCTCACGCGATAGTGTTTCTTATTTCCGGGCGCTGGGAGGCGGGTGCGGCGGCGGTGCGGGCGTGACGTGTAGAGCAGCAGCAGTGCTGAGGCAGCTTTCGGTTCTCAAGCAGAGGGCACTGGAGAGGAGCACTGAAGACTTAGATGCGGAATAAGAAGGGCTGCCCCGATCGAAAAGTTGTATCCCCAATTGGGAGCGTTGGGGGCTGCGTGTAATGGCAGCCAATGGGCCTTGTAACACACCGGGCTCTCTCTCTCTCCCTCGTCTACACTAGCAGCACCACTCGCATCTAAACTGCACAAATGCATCCACTGCTTGACTTCATACCACTGCTCAGTAATGCACCCCTAACAGCAGCCATCCAACAACACTTCATGCAGCAACAGCAACTAAGCCTCACAAACGTGTCGATGCTGCTGCAGAGTGATGACATTGCACCCCCATGCGTCCTTGCCCTAAACAGCGCGATTCATAAATCATTCACCACACAACCAGATGAATTGGCACTGGCAACAGCTCCAAGTTGTCTCACACTATACCTACGAGTTTTTGGAATGAATTGCGACCGGTTTAGTGGACCGTACCCCCATCTCCCCCACTGCCATCACCTCCTGCATAGCGGCACACGGTACCTTCCCTTACTCCCACCGCATCTGCACCATGTCCGTAACACAGGAAACCGGACCCGGCATCACATGCGCAGTGCGGCCGTGGACCCCATACTGCAGCACATGCAGTGTGGCAACACGACATTCTGCGCACGCACGTTGCCCGCGTAACCCGCACTTGCTGCCTGGCAACTGCACATTCTTTAGCTGAGACATCATCCTTGACACCTATAAAGCCGTACCGCACGCGGCGCCACACATCGCCGACTGGCACGTAGGCCAACACATAGGAACAACGTGTGCGCAAAACGTGTTCGACGAATCGCAAACACACAAGAGGCGACGCTATCCAGGAGCGCCTCTGCCCCCACCCTCCCGCACATCAATCCATGTAGCACACCCCTATCGGCCAACCGGCCGCCAGCCGCACCCCTCACTAGCCTGCGCTGCCAAGCCGCTGACGCCACACATACCATCAGCTGTGCTTTTGGTAGCGCAGGTCGAGGGAGGGTGTCACGTCTGGTCACGCACATGCTACCGGTACGTACAATGCCTCGGTGCTGCCCTGGCCGCGGGGAGACGCATGCAGACATGGGCCCAGCTTGCAGCGGAAGGAGCCCAGCCCACACGGAGATGGAGCCAGCCGTGTGTGGTGTGTCGTCGCCCGCATGCAGCAGCACATGCCGCATGCTCAGCGCCACCCAGACACTGCCCACCTGTGCGGCTACACCCCCTTCCGGCTCCGTGACAGCAAGGGGGTGAACATGAGAGTCCCCTCTGCATCGTCAACAACACAAGGACAGCAACGGCTACCCAACTGCCAACCTGCGTAGGCTTTCATGCGAAACGCGCATGCAGCAGAACACCGCCATCCCTGTAACCCGCACAGCGCCCCCCACACACCCGAAGCCCCTAAGCTACACTGCCAACGCTGCTTGCACTGGGAACGGCGCCCAAGCCACCGCCGCCGCCTCTTCTCGACCTGGACCCGTCCTCACCCGCACCCCCTCCCTCCCCGCCCTCCACCACCACCCGTCTCGACCTCCCTCCCTCACTCCCCTCCGCCCCCTCCACCACAACCCTCCTGGACCTTCCCCCCTCCCCTCCCCCACTCCCTCCTCCCCCCTCTCCTCCCTCCCCCCCCTCCACCACCACATGCTGCCCCCGAGCCCCTCTCCGACTGGTTCCGGGGAACCTCATCGCACTCTGCGTTCCCCCCGCCTCCCCACCTCCCACCCCGCCACCTCCACCTCCTCCTGCCCCTCCTGCACCCCCACCACTACCCGCCACTCCGCCTCCCCCCTGCTGCACTCCCGCACCACCCCCTCCTGCTCCTCCTCCTGCCCCTCCCCCTCCCGCTCCCGCCCCCGGTCTGGCTGTAGTGGTCAGGCGGTGGAAGGTATGCGAGCCCACGGAGGAGGAGGAGGCGGAGGCGGCCGGACCCCCGCCCCAGGGTGCCACCCCGCCGCCGCCGCCTCCGCCTGCCGGCCGTCCGGGCGCCCCCGGGGTGAAGGGCAGGTTGCGCATGGAGGCGATGGAGCCGCCGCGGGAGGGAGGACCGTGGTAGGCGTGACCCCGAGTGGGCTGCGGAGGAAGGGGGAGGGGGAACAGGAGATGAGGTGGTTACATCAAAGCAAGCGTTTGCATGCTGCGGGTCTGCGGGTGCTGTACGCAATGGACTCGGTAAGCGGACCCATCCCAACCTGGCCTCCCTCCCTCCCCGCCCCGCCCCCGGCCTCACCCCCGGCGGCCCCGGCTGCGGCGCCATCGCCGCCTCCTCCGCCTCCCGCCGCATCAGCGCCACATCCGGCGGCGCCTCGTAGGTGGGCAGCGGCTCGCTGAGCAGGATGCAGGTGTCCGACACGCCCTCCGCGGGAACCCGCGTGCCCACCGTACGGCGCCACTGCTCCTCCACGTCAGCCATGAAGTACGGCAGGATGTCGGGCGGGGCGCCGCGGCCGTGCAGCACCGAGTGGCGAGCGGAGGCGTCTGATGGGTGGTGGGAATGGGGCGAGGGGGGGCCGGAGGGGGGAAGGCGGATGAGGGAAGCAAGAGGGGGGGACAGCTCATACACACCGTACGGTAGCGGTAGTCCGCCGCGCTACTACTTCCACGGGCTCCGTTCAGCTCCTCCTCTCCTCCCCCATGCGTACCAGTATCCCCCCCCTCTCCTCCACATCATGACCACCACCACCGCCACCACCACCCACCCGACGGCCGCCGCTCTGCCTCCGCATCCTCCCCGCTCCCCGCCGCCGCCTCCGCCCGCGCCCGCGCGCGCGCCTCCGCCCTCGCCTCCGCCGCCCGTCGCTGCTCCTCCTCCTGCTGCCGCCTCCGCTCCGCCACCGCCCGTGCCCCCGCCACCAACCGATGCCCCTCCGGCAGCAATCCGGCGAAGCGCAGTGACGCCGGGTCGTCGGGGGGACCCGAGGAGAGCAGGTGGCTGAAGGGACGGGCGGAGGAGAGCTGAGTGCTGGGTGCCCGCCGGCGGTTGCTGGGGGTGCTGCGGGCTGGAGGGGGAAGGGGGAGAAGAGGGGTGTTAGGGCGGTGGCTGCGAGGGCGGTGAGGCATGCATGCAAGGACGGCAGGGGCGCTGAGGGGCACAACGGGGAGGGTCGAGAGGGCACCGAGACACGCCTGCCACACAGGAAGGCTCCCAAGCCGAATTCTCGCCTCACCTCCTGCCACGACCCCTCATCCCTCTCCTCCTCTAACCCTAACCAACCTCTCCCCCCCTCCCGCCCCTGCCCCCCTCCCCGGCCTCACCCCGCCTGCCGCCATGCGCCGCTCTGAGAGCCCGCAGGTCCCCCACCACCCCCTTGGCGGCCGGGTCGGCCGTGTTGAACACCACCAGACGAACAAAGTCGGACAGCTCGGGGTGACCCGTCTGGTCGAGCATGACCTGGGGAGTGTGGATGGGGAGGAGAGGAGGAGGAGAGGCGGTCTGAGGAAGAGGTAACAGAAAGAAACCAGTTATGAGCAGCCTCCGCAGCTCCCCTCCCCTCACACTCCCTCCCCATCGCATGGTGAGCCTTGCCACACGGTCAGTTCGCTTCTTCCTCCTTCTGTATACCACACTCCCTCCCTCCCTCTGCCCACCAGCAGCTGCTGCAGCTCCTCCGCGCCCATGCCCCTGCACAGCGCCCCCAGCCTCTCCGCCGCGCTGCGGTGCGTGATGGCCAGCAGGTGCAGCTCCGCCGCCCAGGACTGGATGCGCCGCAGCAGCAGCTCCTCCACCACCGCGGTGCCGGACAGCACGCCTGGAGGGGAGGGGAGGGAGGGAGGGGAGGTAGGAGGAGGGAAGGAGAGGTAAGAGGTGGGGTAAGAGGAGATGGAGCATGTGGAGATGGGAGGGAGAGCAATGTGCAGGCGCGTGCATACGGCACCCCAGCCAGCTAGCCACGCCTCCGGCTCCTGGCCTGAGTGGCCTCGCGCCTCCCATCACTGCCCTGCCCTCCTCACCCAGGTTGGACGAGCGGATGCTGCGCCACTCGGTCCGCAGCACCTCCAGCAGCTGTGCGTGCAGCCGCTCGCACAGCTGGGACTGGGTGGGCTTGCGCGGGCCGCTGTCAACACGCGCGGAGGGGCCGCCGCCACCGCCGGCACCGCCTCTGGGGCTAGCACTGGCGCCAGCGGCGCCAGCAGGGGAGCCGGCGGCGGTGGCGGTGCCCGCGGCAGCAGCAGCAGCAGCAGCAGCGGAGGCGAGCAGGCCGGTAGCGCCCGCGGCACTGATGCGTGCTGGGTGGGGGCTGGCGAGGGCGGCGGAGGTGGTGGCCTGGAGGCCGCTGGCGACTGAGATGCGGTTGGTGATGGAGGCGAGGGCGGCGTTGGGGGAGGAGGGCAGGTCGGTGCCGGAGCCGCGGAGGGCGGCTAGTGGGCTCAGGGCGTTGTGGGGACCGAGCGGTCCGAGGGAGCTGAGAGGGGTAAGGGAGTGGCTGAAGGGGCTAAGGGGAGCGAGGCTGCCGCCGCCGGAGCGGGAGGCGCCTTGGAGGATGGTGGGTGGCGTCGCAAGGCGCTCGGGCGGGCTGGTCGCGCGAGGCGATAGTAACGGAGGTAAGCTTTTCGTCGCCATGTATTGTTATGGAAGGTTGCTGCTGCCAGTGCAGCTCAGGTGGAAAGGCGATAAGACATGGGGCGGGACAATGGGACCCTAGTCCGGCGCGACTGGATTTAGAGGTAAGACTTGTTAAATATAGTGTTCAGACGTGCTGCCAGCGAAGAGCCCTAAAGGCTAGTTTCCAAAATGTACAATTCTGCCTCTCCTCGAAGGCAAGGTAAGAAGCAACGCAATGTGTACCTGTTATCACTGGGTAACTGGATGCCAGTTATCCTATGCGTTGCGATAATGTTCATATGGCAAGGTTTAGTGTCATAGTTGGATGATGGCTACCTAACATATCTTGCCAGAAATGCGTAACGCTAGGTAAACAAACATTTTATGCTATATAATAGATATTTTCAGTGGTTCCTTAGTACCTAATTGTCGCTTTGGACATGGTGTGTACTGCAGGCATGTTGTGCGGGCATTCTTAGCAATTGGATGGTACCTGTATTCGATCACTAAAGAGCATATGTTCTAGTTTCTATTATTACTGCATTGTACTATAGTAACTGAGATGGAGAGCACAAAAACGTGGGACAGCCATCCACTCAATTCATCTTTCGCTGCCGCTGTGCACCCGCTGATCTGCAACATTGGCGATGAGTACATAACATCACTACGTATGCTTTGTAAGGAGTCACGTGTAGCAGCCGACTCTGAACGAAAGGGCGTGCAGGTACAAAACGAGCCATGGCCGTCTCGGAAAAGCTGTTAGCACGCAACGCCTGATGTTGCCATTTCCATGTCATTCACAAGCCTTAGACATTTTACACAGCAAAAGCATGCAGCTTCCTAAGAGGGTGCTTTCAAATCTTTCGCCAGCCTGCGTTGGCGCAAATGGCGAGACAAATAGGCGAATGCCTGACATCACTGCCAAACCAGTGTTGAGATCTTCTCCTTTTCATTGTACAAAGGACCTGTATATCTCTGTGCCCATCGCAGATCTCTCTTCCACCCCATCCATCGGACAAGCGTTTTCGGTCCGACGACCTCCGCTCTTTTTTGTCGCGGCTTCCGGCTCTAACACAAGCTACAATCAGTCAGGATCTTCTTTATGTGGACCTGCCCTCCCGCATTCGTCTTGCTGCCTTGCGCTCCGGAACCTCCATCGCCACATCATTCGACGCACACGGGCGCCATCCGGCAGCTGCGTCGCAACCAGGCTCATCCGCCCCTCCTCCTTCGCAAACCCACGCCTCTTCTCCAACCACCTTCGTTGTCCCCTGCAGCTACTGGCATGTCGCATTGTCCGCGCTCAGGCCACAGCACCTGCGTTACCTAGAGCTGGAAGGCCTGGTGCTGACACCCCCAGCCGCGCCTCAAAATTTAAACCCGACCGTGACCCACGGGTCGCTGCCGGTGTCCGGCTCACCTCCATCCACCACCAGCTCCACCCTGGACCTGCTGGTTGCGCTGCTTCGGGGCGCTCCTGTGCTCCAGGAGCTGGCGCTGCTGCGGCTCGAGGTGGACGTAGTGGGTGAGGCGGCAGCGGTGGCTTCGGAGGGCGGTAGGGTTGATGGGGTTGTCGAGGAGGAGGGGCCAATGGCTGCAGGCGGTGGGAAGCGTGGCAAGCGGCAACTCCTGAATCCCACCGCCTCTGCCGCCGCCTCCTGCTGGCGCCCGCTGCTGGCCGCCCTGCCCGCCAGCCTCACCTGCCTCCGCATCAGCAGCAACAGCAGCAGCAACAACATCAGCAGTCTCGGCATGGAGCACGGCAGCAGTAGCAGCAGCAGCAGCACCTCGGTTGCGGTGGGGCCGGGTGCGGTCTGTCTGGGTGCTGCTCTGCGGCGGCTGCCCCGCCTGCGCCGACTGGAGCTGTCGGGAGTGCTGCGGGGGCGGCAGGCGGTGAGCGCAATGCAGCGGGCTGCAGCTACCGCACCGGAGGAGGAGGAGGAGGAGGAGGGGACTACGCCCGAGGAGGCTGCTGACAGCAGCTGCGTTGGCGCATCTGACAGGCATGACAAGCGACCTACGCAACTCCAGCAACCGCACCAGCTGTGCGCCCTGCTGGGGCGGCTGGAGCGGCTGGTGTTGGAGGTGGAGGGGGAGCTTGATCTGGGGGCCCTGCGGGGGCTGCTGGAGGGAGCAGGGGAGGAGGGGACGGAGGGGGGCCCCAGGCGGGGGCTGCTGCCGCAGCTGCGCTACCTGGTGCTGCTGGAGCACGGCTGCAGTCGCCAGCCCACCAGGACCACAGACACACCGGGCGGGGGCAGTGGTGGCAGCAGCAGCAGTGGCAGCGGCAGTAGGAGTCCTGTGGGGACCAGGCAGCAGCAGGCACAGCAGCAGCAGCAGCTGAAGCGGCGGCCCGCCTTCGCCCCACTTGACTCCATGCTGTGGCTGCTGCGCTGTCCGGGGCTGACCCACCTCTCCCTGGTCACCCACCGCGCATTTACGACATTGCTGCCGCAGCAGCAGCAGGAGCAGCTGCAGGGGCAGCAGCCGCTGGGGCAGGGTAGTAGCGGCCCAGGCCGCAGTTCGGAAGGAAGCAGCGGCAGTAGCAGCGACGGCGCCAAGCCGGGTTTGACTTCCGTACGACTAAGCTGCGACCTGAGTGCGGAGGCGCTACAGCCGCTGGTGGCCAATCTGCCGTACAGCGTGCTCAGCCTGACGCTGCATGTGGGGGCGCTTCACCGCCCTGCGGAGGTGATGGAGGCGGCGACGGCGGAGGTGGAGGCGGGACAGGCGGCGGTAGTTGTGCAGACGGAGGTGGAGGCGGAGGCGAAGGTGGTGAAGGGCTCGGATGGGGCGGGGGCGGGAGGAGGCCGAGCGTCACATGAGGCGAGTCCAGATAAGGAGTGCCATCCTGCCCCACCGCCGCCCCACCGCAGCCCCACCACAGCCTCCACTGCCCCCATCAACGACTCTTCCCCTCCGCCACAGCAACCACTTCGGCCACCGCAACCCCGCCCAGACTTCACCGCCTCCCCACCCTCTCCCCCCGCATCCCCGCCGCCCTCCCCGCCCCCGCACTCCCCCGCCTGGCTCTCCATCCCGCCGCTCAGCGCCCTGGGCGGCCTGCACTTCACCTGGCCCGCCCTCGCGCTGCTGCCGCGAGTGGTGCCGCGGCTGCGGGAGCTGCGGCTGGGCGGCTGCGCGGCCGCTGCGTGCAGCGACCATGTGCTGCGCGGCTGGGCTGCCGCCGCCTCCGCCTCCTGCGCCCCAGCCGCCTCACAGGGACGCGCGGCGGTGCAGGAGCAACCGGGCAGCAGCAGGAGCAGCAGCCTGCAGCTGGATGATACAGCTACAGCCCCCCCAGCTGGCAGCACTGCCAGGCCCAGGTCTGTGGATGCTGTCTCAGGTGACGTGGTGGGAATGCGAGGGCGGCAGGGGGAGCAGGGGCAGGAACGGGGACAGAGTGCGGAAGGCGGGTGGTGGGGTAGTCTTGAGCGGCTGTGTCTGACGGCTCCGGGGCCCGGTCTAGCGGCCGCACTGCACCTGCGGCGCTGCATGGGTGGGCTGCGGCGGCTGCAGGTGGTTGCGGGGGGGAGGCTGACGGAGGTTGGGGTGGCGGGGGCGGGAGGAGGGAGCGAGGGGGGGTAGGATGGCTTGAGAGGCCGCGAGGGGTTTAGATGGGGATGTGGGGTAAGGCGGGGCCGCTGCGCGTAACTTCGCAGGGGCAGTGTTAGGGTCGGCGAGTTGACTCGAGGGAAGGGTTTCGTGTCGTGGGCAGTGTGTTGCGATGGTTACATAGCCGCATGCAGTTGCATGGGGGGGGGGCCGAAGTCCTTTTTCCAAAGGCCTTTGTGTGGTCATGTCATGTCATTTGTGCTGTCATTGAAGTATGGTAATCTAGCGCTTGTATGCTGTAAGGAAAACATATAACATATGTGCTGGCACGCACACGCAATGGTGAATAGTCCTATAGCCGGATTCCCATGCCTTGCTTGGGCCATGGAAGATTTGTTGTACGTGTAAGGTAGTTGTATGTTGGTACGGAATTCGTTAGCTAGGATTGCAGTTGTACGACAACTTGCGTTCGAAGAATTCCTGCCAGGGCTGATGCTCAGATGCATGTTCAGTGCTCGGTTTCGGATGTTATTAGAAGTTGTTTGGGCTGCGGGCCGCATTGTCGCCGTTGCACCGCTGAAAAGCGATGCGGTGTATCCGGAGCAATGCGAGAAACCTGCAAGGCTCTAGACCTGTCTTTGTAGGCGTATTGCGTTGCCCGCCAAACCTACCTAATACTACATACATTGGTGGGTACGTTGATGCAGTATCGCTGGTCATGTTCTCAATTCACTTTTAAAACGCCCCGAATAGCGGTGGTTTGGGCATTAAGTTAGCTTGATGTAGGCCGCAGTGTTGGCACACAGCAGAAGATCAGGCTACGGATCTAGCGGGCGTGGTCGCCCTCATTGCCCATCCACACACGAGCCGCAGACCCGCCACACGGAGTATCGTTTGCTGTCGTTTTCGTATGAGGCGTTTGTCTTACAGTAGCCCCCGCGTGTGTACGGCAGGTTTAGTGCAGGTCATGGCCTAGACGAGGCGCCCTTTCAGCAAAGGTGTATGCATGGCCCTTACTGTTGAGGTGTGGTTTAGTAGTAGTGTGCAGTACGGTATGTAGCTTGCTTCTTGTTGTTGGGAAAATGGTTATGCCAGCCTGCGACAGCTTGCAATAGCTACTGAGCTACAGAGGTCATCCACAAACGTGGCATGGCAAATTAAATTCGTCGCCTAGCATGTAGCTCGCATGCCTGCTGCGAACGTGGTCCCAAGGCTCTGTGAGGTCGTTGGAATGATGATGAAGCCGATTGATCGGGCCAGTGTGTATTTTGCCCTGTTGTCCGGTCGAGTGGTTAGCCCCCCACTTTTGCTTTCTGTATCGAGAGATACGGTTGGATAGTACCTGGGGGTTGCCGTCGAAAGCGATCTCTTGTCAGTGCTTACTGCTCGCGGGTGAGAAAGGATCCCGGCTTGCTGTACCGTGCGCATGGAGACTTGGACCTGTACGGCGCACGCCCATGATTCCTTGAAACGTATGAGCGTATCGACACTGTTGCTGGCCCAACCACAGAGACCGACAGAAATTGGAAGCTATTGGCAGTGTGTGCGGGTGCGTCAAGATTGCATCTAGAATAGCGGTATGCGGCAGTTGGCAAAAATATACGGCGTTTGCGGACGATACGGCTATGAGAGGTTTGTTGCAGTCGTAACGAATGCAAGTATAGTATAGCTGTGTTCGCTTTCGAATAGGCAGCATGAAATAGCCCAATCACACGTCGCGACCACTGTGACACTGTAAGCCAGTGGACCATTTCGCTCTATTGAATGGCCCCAGCAAAGGCATGTTTATTGAAACTTAGAACGCATAACATTTTATTGCTAACTAGCATGCGCGGTGTTCCTTGTGGCAAGGATTTGCAATCGATACCGGTACGCGCAAGCATACTGTAGGCCGTGCTCTAAATCACGCCTTGGACATAGCACGGCTACTGGAGCCCTTCCCCTTATGTTGGTAGTATACATCCTTACTTGAGTAAATGCTGGGGGCGCTGCTCCGAACCTGTCGATTAGACATGCAGCAGCCTTTTTGGCAAGGACGGCTTGAAACGCCGGGAAGCTGCTCGCGACTTCATCATCATCACCACACTAGCGGTCCTCATCCTTTCGCTTCGACGCTAGCTCGCTTCAAGCACGTACGAGCAGCCCCCCGAGCGCCTGCTGCAGCTGCTGCCAAGGAACCTCCACAGCCGCGCAGGCAGACGTCCACCGCCGGCAGCAGCGGTGGTGGTGGCCACAACAGTAAAGGGGCATCAACTGGACCCATTGAGCACGGGGCAGGCAGGAGGAGGGGTGGCCGCAGGGAGGCTGGAGGACATAACTCCAACCTGCAGTGGGACCGCCAGGATGGGGGAAGAGGCAGAGGGCACGGGCGCTGTGGCCCTAGCCGGGGGACCCGCACTGCTGTCCTCCGTGACATCGCTGACCTGCGCACCCTCGTAGAGGTAGTGGAGGAGGAGGTGCCGGCCTGGGTGGCGGCTGGAGATGTGGTCAGCCTTCGAGCTGCGTTCTCAGCCCTTGCCAAGGTGAAAATCGATTGCTAGCCTTATTGTGAGAATGGCTTCATGAGGAGCTTAAGAGGATGGACGATTTACTGCCATGTTTGAGGCCGCAGGGCCCTTCCCCGTTCCCCGTGACTTCTCATTTCTACTTTCCGCCATCCTTTCTTATTGCTGTGGTGAGCAACTCGTGACTGGGTGCATGGGTGATATCTCCGTCCCCG